GCAGCTCCTTTGACGCGACTAGCAACGAAAGGAATTCGCGACGCGGGAGCACGAGCAAACACGCTTCTTGCCGGTGCTCCCCGGCAACTCCAAGAGATAGCTTGATATTATTTCCAGGTACCGAGCCGGGGCGAACGTGAAAAAACAGGGCCGCGCTCAACCGGGCATTGTTGCGAATTAATGTGCCGCGCGTAATTACGCTTTCCGCGGGAATCAAATTCAATTGAAATGAAATTCAATAGCGAGCTATCCATTCACTCGCGATTGTTATCACAGACCTACACAGGTCGGTTTCATTTACCGAGGATCGTGGACTTGTTACAAAAACATGGCGCTCCATGCCGACCCAATAACTGATTAACGGGCGAAATTAACGTCCAGTTGATCGCGGCACTTCGCTGCCGCGATTCACCGCCGCCGTCTGCATTTACTTACACTTTCCTTTCAATCTTCCTTTATTCTAGATTTTTCACAGCCAGCTACTCTCATACGCACTCTATTATGAGGCTTGTATCAGCTACACAAACTTCTACATTCTCTAACTTCCCGCTTCGTTAAAAGTTAACTTTCTCCGCGAATGAACTGAACTGTCTTGAACAAACGTTCAGACTCTCTTATATCTTCTACTCTTAACTAATTAATTCTCGTATACTGTATCCGAAATAATCATAAAATATCCTCGAATAATCCAGTTCCTCGACGAACCAACTCGCGTGTAACGGTTATTCCGAAACAATCCTGTTTCTCGACAACTGCATCACCATCCTGCACGAGTATCATTATTTTCCGCGTGGCAGGTTCACGCAAATTGCGTCGTCCCGCTCTATCACGTTCCACGGTTATCCCCTTCGACCCGGAAATCGTGGCCGGGTGGAAACGAGTTCACGCGTAAGTATACACGGCGCACGGCTGCGAACGCGCGGAAGGCGCGACGTTTCCAGGAAAGCGTTACTTAGTCGTCGCACACCGTAATCATCGCGCTCGCGGACTGGAGCTTCTTGGAAGTCCGCTGTGCGTATTACACCGTCGCACGCGTGTTTTACCGTCCTATTACCGCGCCGCCATCGCCGCGTTTACCCGGCTAAATATTACATTAACGTCGCTCCGCGCGATCAATGAAACGGGACGGTAATGGCCTATCATGATTTATGCGGAATGCCTCGGAAATATAATGGAGGCTCGATAATTATCTGGAATAACGCTGTGACCTTTCAGCGAGACCCTATTTTCGCATCCGCAAGCGTTAACCCTTTGCACTCGAGATATGTCTCTCAGTTATCAACTGATTTGACAGAAAAATTGTAAAGTTTGATATTTAATACGTGAAGTATTGAAAGAAAATAGTTTTCATTATCAACGTGCGATGTCTCGTTAAACCGATTTTAGGAAACGTCTGCGCCTCATTAGAAAATATTGAGCATTTTCAGTGAAAAACTTTTGGAGCGCAAAGGGTTAAGGATCTCCTGTCTTCTAATTTGCTGCTGCTAAATTATAGACAAATTTCTGGAATCGAGAATGGGAAGTTTAATAATTCAATTATTGAGACAATAAAATATGAACAAGTTTTCCCTGGAATTAAAGAATTTAATATAGAACTTAAATTTCTAAGGGCGAAACGTTTAATTAGTTTGGCTCCTTTTTAATACGGTTGAGCATATTTGCGAGGTTCGTTGATTCAGCTACGAGGAAGAATTAAGTTGCACGAATTTTCTCAGCGACAAGGATTAATACTATTACACTTGCATCGAATAATCGCGGATAATATCAAGCGCAGGTGACGAGGAAGTGTTCATGTGACCAGGCCATTGTGCGAAATTCATTTTCCCTCGCACTCGTGCCTTCCAATTAATTCGCGCGCTAAGTAGTGTACCGTACTAATTGTAAGATTGCCGTATTAGCGCTGCAAGAGACTTAGCGTTACACATTTCTTCGTAATATTGTGTGCATAGCCCGTGTGATTCACAGGGGACGGTGCAGAAATTGAAGAAGGGTAGCAATATTAATAAAAAAATCACTCTAACCAGTACCAGCCCTTATCAGAAGCTGGAAACTCGTGTTTAACGAGCGGAGATAATATTTGCTTCATTTGTACTCATCAACTTCGTGAAACTGTTCAGAACAGCATCTCCCTTTAAGAATGAAATTAATAATAACTCTATCGCGTGCTGTAAAACATCGTTTCAATTCCCCGAAACGTTGAAACGTATTGCCTATGGCACTACGGAGCTGGTTTATTCCATACGATAAAAGCCGAACAGTTAACCCATAAGCCTAAAGACATCGCTCCACATCGTTTCAACGAAGCAGCTACTTTCGTCTTCCCTCAGGACCGTGGCGGAACGGCGGTTTGGTATTTTTCACCGGTCGCAGCGCCCCGGGCAATAGCAATAATCGTATCACGGCGGGGCCGTGTGCGTTAAGGGATGAAAATGACAAGAAAAATACGAGGCAATTACTCACGAGGAAAGATGGCGCGAGGGCCGCTCGTAAAGTTTCGACACACGAGGAGCTTCTGTAATTAAAAGTGCGTGGGACACGGTGGCCCAGCGTTAATGGTTTAACTATATCCCGGCGGGGGGGAGCGAAAGGGTAGGCGAAGTCGATGAAGAAAACGGAAAAGAGAAAAATAAAACAGAAAGGGGGAGAACAGTGAAACTGCCTGTAACCTCGCGTGTGCTAAATCTTGAGAAAACGCGCGCGAAAAGATAAAAGTATTCCCGGGGGAGCGTAAAGCTTCGGGAGCTTTGTTAACGCAAAGATTTCCTTTTATCTCGGAGAACTTAAAAGGGATAACGTCCGCTTTGAAAAACGACGCTAAGGGCTGGCTTTATGACGCGGACGTGACTCCACCCTTCTTTTCGGGACATACAACCGCTCGTTCTTACCTTCCTTTCGGTTTCAGAGGAATCGAATGTCTTTCAATCCGTTCGTTCACTCGAAATTATCGTTTTCGATGTTACTGTTTATCTTTTGCATTTGCAAAGTAGTACAACTTTTAATTGCACTGCTTTAACCAGTTCACCGTGTTTCGTAACCTTTTGAAACTTTCTACAATAATTGATTATAGATATTCTCGAATTAACATGTTATTCATTTTCATTTTCTAGATTTTTACTGTAATACATGTTAAATCCTTTTGTCCTTTGTCCGACGAGTATACCCGTCATTGGTTGATTCTATTAGACTAATGAAGTAAGCTAGTTTCCCGCTACTAACTGGTAACAGAAATTCGCGATCATTGCACGCGCGGTGTGAAACTGGTCTTTTCGGCTCGGTACTCCATTACACACCTGACGTGTAATTGGCTCCGAACGGGTAAATTGAAACACCGTGATTTCCCAGCGAGAAGCTTTCGTTCGCCGAGGAGAGCTTAGGAGGACAGTCCTCGAGTGTCGTCCACGTCGACGCAGCGCGAAATTGATTTCGAAATTACGTAACGTGCTGCAGTCAGGCCTTAAAAAGTTTTCTCTCGCCTCAGCGTGAACTCGTCGAGTTACGATATCGGGCGGCGGGGCTTTGTATCTCGGTTTAATGGGATCGCGGCGAGGTAAAACGCCGGCGAGGACGTTCCTCCGCGGCCGTGCCGGATAACGCGAGCGGTCCCGCGCCGTGCAACTTTATAATTACGGTCGGACAGCCTGCCAGCCGGCTGTGGTGCTTTCCTTGCCCGTCCAACTGTCCGTGAACGTGTCGAACGCACGATTTGTCGCGTTATTTCTCGATCGCGGTCAAGAAACTTGTGCGCCTGCAGTTTCTTGGCCTCCCGGATGTTCAGCGAGTCTATAAATTACCGTCCGAAGCAAATAAACGTTGGAACCGCAGAGCATACATGTAGCACTAATCCCTCGAAAGTTCATCGCTAGAAATATTCAACATTAACCTAATCCTCCACGATATTATAGCCACAATCATATATTTAACTAATCTAAGATATTTATATCTATATTATTATAATCATACTTCGCCATAAAGACGCTCTTATGTACCTACAATTCCTTGTGAAATAAAGCGCATTAATCCCTCGAAAGTTCTTCGCTAGAAATATTCAACATTAACCTAATCCTCCACGATACTGATGCATCATACAAAATCTAGTGTTCAACATATAACCCCTTTCAGTCGACAGTTTTGTACTAGGAACATTTGACGTTTTCTAATTAGACGTGCACGAGATTGAAAGTAACTTGAAAGATACGTAAATTGGAAAACGAAGCTTCATTTCGATGCTTCACACACCGATGCATAGTAATAAGCTTAGTATTACATGTAAGGCTTTATAATTTTGCCCTATCAAACCAAGTTGCTTCCGAGAGTCGCCTCTCGAGGGGCGAACGAAGCGTTGCATTTCTAATACCCCCGAAAGCACGTGAAATTGAAACTTCGAAAGATTCGCGGACACCCGTTATTGGAGCACAAGACCCCTCGCGACGCATTAACGCGAGAAAGGAAGCATGATAGCACAGTTTTCGAGTTCCGCGCGACGAAGGGGGAGCCCCGGCGAGCCGGTGTAGCAGCATTAACTCGACAGAAGAGCCGGCGCGCATCCGAGTGACATTGAAAAAAGGAAGTTAGGTCCCTCTATCCGTCTATCCGGTCCCATACTCCCCGTCTCTGTCCCGCTTTCAAGCGGAGCGGTGAATAGAGGGAGCCGCGCGGCCGTAAGAACGAGATTCAACGCGCTGCAAAGAAATTTACTTCTTTGATTGACATTCAAAAGGAGCACTCCGCGCTTCCTTTAACCTGAATTATGAAAGGACGTATCCAGCGGCGGGCTGGGTAGCAACCGTGGCGTCAGCGTCGTCGCGCTGAATTTTCCGGCGCACGGAGAGGCACGGGGGGAGGTAGGTTCTACGGGCGGGCGAAACATTTTTCCGCGAGAACGGTCGGACGTAAATATTGACTCGCGAGCTGACGGTCGCCTCCAGACGAAAATCGCGAGGGGCCCCGCGATCGCCGAAAGTAGAATAAACTATGGTAATGACGGAACGTTTTCCACTCACCGACTCTCCATCCGGCACTTGCCCTCCCGCGCTTTGCAGTTGCTTTTGAAGTCCTCGAATATCTGGCTGCACGGCTTGCCGCGTACACAGACGCTCAGCGCATGATTGCAGGTTGGCAGCGCGTCGATGGGGTACGGATCCTTTTCTGGAAAGAAGCAGGACGCAGGTGCTTTACGAGATTACCACTTGACTGCGAATTGGATTACCGCGCCGATGGGTTTGCCGATGATAATGCGCCGTTCGTGTTTGGGAAATTGAAACAGTCGCGCGGCGCTGTGTAATCTATGTAGAAGACTTTTGGTTTATTTGTTTACGAGTTTATTTAGTTCCATCTGTTTCGTGGGATCGTGAACTGGTTCACTCAGCTGGAGCTATCGATACAGAGGACTGCTGTTTGAAATTCTTAGATGCGTTGTTACAAGTCTACATAAAAGTCTGCAGCTTTGTCGCTGCGGTGGGTTTGTCCCAAGGAATATTTGTAGACTATTAAAATTACAGATAACGGTAGTCGCGAGGTTCTGCAATGCAAATCGAACGTTCCGAATGATCACAGGCAACGATCTCTTGGCAGAGGCACAGCGGTGCATCTCGAGGAGTAAGGAGACAGCAGTACAGAGGCAGCGGGTTTATCATTCAAATCCAGCTGAATTTTCACGGCCACGATAAAATCTCGCGGACAATAAGCGTCGCTCGAGTCGGCCGCGAAACGAGGCAGACTGAATGGGACTCGCGGGGGAACAATGGTCGAAAGGAAGGGGAGGAGGTGGCGGGGCCAGCGAAGAAAAAGCGAAGAAGAAGAATTCGTTGATTATAAACGCGTGAAAAGTTCATCGGCGCGGCCGCGGTATAATTGTTCGGGCGCGGAGATAATTAAAAGGCGCATCCGCGTGGGCCAATCGGATGAAATAATAAGAGGACACCGGCGCCGGCGCCGGGCCGCGACAGGAGGACCCGGAAA